AGAATTTCATTTTCTAGTGTTTTTATGGTCAACTGAATCACATCAACCTGAACAGTGTTGACTAATGGCGGAGGAGGGTTCTAGTTCTTTGGAGTACACCGCAACTTGGGTGGTTGCCGTAGTCTGTTTTGTCATTGTTCTGTTATCTCTTCTTGCTGAAAGGGGCTTGCATTATCTTGGGAAGGTATTCATGAAAGAATTTCATCTTCCTTTTCCAGTATTCTTTAGTCTCATGCTTCACCGCTCAAGGACAAATTGTATTAGAACTTCAAATGCCTCAACAATTGTCATACATGGAGTTGCATTGTTTTTATAGAACATTAGCAGCAAAAAGATGCAGGATTAGAGGGTTGATTATAGAATTAATATGGAGTCTGTGCAAGCGTATTATATAAGCCAGAACGTGCAGGCAGTAGCTTACAGAGTGTAATTAGTTTTTTTAGTTCATTTAGTACTTACTTAATACTTTGATGCCACATAGAGATTGGTATCGTCCTAACGTCTATTTAAATTGTTAATTTTGTTGATTCAGTGCTTGAAGCGAAGCAAACAAGATGCGTTATTTGAAGCCTTGCAAAAATTAAAAGAAGGTTTTCTGCCAATCTCCCTCTTCTTCAATGTCTCTCTCTCTCTCTTTTTAACACAGACAAAACTGAAGAGACACAAGACACAAGACACAATACACACACACAAGGGACAGTTGCAGAGATATATGTCAATATGTAGAACTGTGCCAATAGCTAAACATGTTAATTTGATAAAATACTATTTTCTTACTCGCTGAATTTAAAATCACTCCATTGAACTTTGATCTTCTGTCTTGACTTTCTTTTGTTAAGTTATAGATATCTATATATGTGGATCTTCTATCTACCTCTCTACATACATATATATATATTATAGCTTGTCTTGTCTTGTTAATGGTTATGCAATTAATTTGATTGCCAAATGAGAATTGCCACTAAAAAGATGACTTCAAAAGTATATTATGTCATATGCAACTGTTGTGAAGAGGATGTGAGGAAAAAAAATAATTGGACTGACTCTTATTTGAACCTGGTATTTGTTCAGAATTGATGCTTTTAGGGTTCATTTCCCTTCTATTGACTGTCTTTCAAGGCGCAATAAGGAACATATGTATGCCAACCGACCTTGCAAATAAAATGCTTCCTTGCAAGAAGCACAATAAGAATGAACATAACAAAGATTATTCTTATCTGTCTGCGAATAGTAGACACCTGTTAGCTGCAAGCAGTAGTCCAGACCAGTGCGTGTTAGAGGTACCTTATTGTGCTTTTTGAGTTGAAGTAGATTCTTCTTAATGAATATTTCTTCCATTTACCTTTGGTGCTATTTGATCATTTTGAAATATACCAGAGAGGTTTTGTAACATTTGTGAGAGATGGATAAATATTTATACCATTCTGATCTTAAATCACTCAACAACCAGGGAACATACATATGAATAGAATATACCAGGGCTTTCTTTCTTTCGCTTTTCTTGATTTGATCACATGGAGTAGGGAATGCTTGGATAGATCAACAGAATATGCATACAAATGCTCATTTTGTATTAACTTGTAGTTACGCTTTCTTTTTTTTCTTTATTTGTAATCAGGGAAAGGCTCCACTATTATCATTGGAAGCATTGCACCAGCTGCATATATTTATCTTTGTGTTGGCAGTTGTTCATGTGATCTTTTGTGCCACAACTATGGTTCTTGGAGGGGCAAGGGTAATGAATTCTGCCTTCTTCTATTTTCAGAATTTGTTCCAATGAAATTTGTCCTTTTTTTTGGGTTATAAAAGTAGATCTATGCCTATAATTAATTACATGTATTCACGGACTTCTGGTTAATTTTTTGAAATTTTACATCTATGACATCATCTCAAGGTGGCTGGTTTTGCTACATCCTTACTCTTTAGTCAGATTGATGTACTGTAAGTTTGAGGTTTAGGCTGAAGCTTTACATGGTTTACCTTATGTAGGTACGCCAATGGAAGAAATGGGAAGATTCTATCAAGCGTGCTTCCTCGATAAGTAATGTTCTTCTAAATTTTTAAAGCATGTTGATTAACCTGGACATACCAATTAATAGAGCATGTTTGTTCCTTCCTTCTTCACATATAAGATGATATATTTGTGCAGATTCAGCAAAGGATACGCCTGCACATCATCATCATGAGTTCTTCCGACACCGGGCGGGTGGGTATTGGAAAAAGACTGCTGTCGTCAGCTGGATGGTAAGTTTCATTGCTAATATATTTGAATGAGGACAAAGGTTGCAGGATTTATATGGTCTGTGGTTTCTAGTAAATGGTACCCTAAACAATTTTTGGACAGAAAAAAATGAAAAGAGATGTTATAAACTGCACCTGTCTATTATATGTTATTGTAGTAGATAATAAAAATTGCTCATGAGAAATAAAGGCAGCTTATCCTCATTTTCTTGGATCTTAGTTGCATATAATTGTTTGCAGATCGCATTCTTCAGACACTTTTATGGGTCTGTGAAAAAGTCGGATTACATAGCACTTCGAAGAGGATTTATCATGGTTAAGTTCCGAAAAATCAGTACTCAATCTTATTGTTTTTAAGTTCTGTTTCCAATCAAATGCATTCACTTTCCTCTCTTCCTGCTCTGTGGTATAGGCTCATTGCCCGGCAAATCCTAATTTCGATTTTCACAAGTACATGATGCGGACACTTGAAGTGGATTTCAAAAAGGTTGTTGGCATAAGGTAGATATCTAATTAATTAGAGAAGTGCTCCAAGTCTTTTCAGGATGGTTGAACTGTCTGATCAATCTGTTTGATATATATTTATGTTTTTATTTTAAACAATCCTGTTGCAGCTGGTACCTGTGGCTGTTTGTTGTTGTGTTTTTGCTGCTGAATATGAAGGGCAAGTTTCCTCTTTACCTGAATTACATATGCATTCTCAATCTTCGTTCGATACTAACTGAAGTCATATTGGTGTATGAACATGAATAAATGAACTGCAGGATGGAACACGTATTTTTGGCTGTCCTTTGTGCCTCTAGTTGTAAGTGAATTTAGGCTTTGTTGTTTTAGTTTATTAAAAATAAAGGTTTGAAGTAGATTAGGGTATTGATAATTATCAATGAGTTGATTCAGCTGCTACTACTGGTTGGGACTAAGTTGCAACATATAATCACTCGGTTGGCTCTGGAGGTCAAGGAAAGCAACGAGCAACGAGAAGGTGCACCAAGAGTGAAGCCTTCCGACGAACTCTTTTGGTTTCATCGCCCTGTTCTTGTTCTCCACTTGATTCACTTCATTCTTTTCCAAAATGCCTTTGAACTTGCATTCTTGTTCTGGATATGGGTACTGCTTCTTCCTGTGTGAATGTGTACGAGTATTTGAAAGTGCAGTAACTGATTTCGGTCTATTTAAACACGCAGAGCACGTATGGGATCCACTCATGCATAATGGAGCAACTGGCTATGATGATCCCTCGACTTCTAATCGGGTAATGCTTGATGTTTGTTCACTGGATATGCTATCAGTTCGTATTTCCCATATTATCTACCATTTCAACTTGAACTTCTGGCTTATTTTTCTGAATTGATTAATTATGCAGGGTGATAGTTCAAGTACTTTGCAGCTATAGCACCATGCCTTTGTATGCTCTGGTTGGCCAGGTGAGTGAGTATGTCTTTTTTGATGTCTAACCTGGGTTCGTTTCGACCCACGAATAAATCAACATGTCTGTTTCGTTTCCGAGAAAAAAAAAAAACAGATGGGAAGCAGGTTTAAGGAAGGGATATTCAATAAATTCGTGCAATCGTCACTTGAAGTGTGGATCGGGAATAGGGGGAACAGAGGCGAAGCAAGCAGGAGTATAACACAACTGCAGAGGGTTGAGAATAGAGTGGAAGAAGCTGCAATGGTTGACATTATCGAAGAATCTGTAACACATCTTCCTTCTGTTGCCTCAAACTCTCTTCCATAACCTGCACTCAACTTCTTTTTCCTCTTACATATCACAATTCATTCATTCATTCAATCATTCATTCAATCCCAGTTCCTTCTCAATCACCTCCTTGCTGAATCACAGATTTTTTTGAAGTATCTGAAAAAAAAAAAAGAAGCTTATAGTGTATTTGTTAAATGTCAAGATCCTATATTCTGGTTTGAAGGAGGAAGATGAATTTGGAATGGAGCAAGTTAAGTATCTGAAGAAGGAAGATGAAACAGTTTCATTGTTGAACTTCTCCACACACATATATACATACACATACACATACACATACACATACACTAGTGTAATTATTCTAAACTATATGGTAAAGTTGAATGCTAGGAAAGTGCTAGTGAATTCTAACTTTGACATATGATTCTAGTCTTCTTCTGAGTGCGTCAAATGTCAAATACACATACAAATATGCACAACCTATTTATATGAATAGTAGTCTCCATTATAACCAACATTTCTTTAATACCATTATTATAATCGGAATATATGTCAATAAATTTATAATAAAATAATAAAATGTTTAGTTCGTAAACGCGTTCGATTTTATATATATATTTTTTCTGTGTAGTTAAAAGAAAAACGTAATAGACTAGATGTAATTTAGCCGAACTTAACATTTATGAAATATTCATTTCGCCTTAATATATTTGATTTTATATTTTTTGTTTCTCTGGAGTTAAAAAAAAAAAAGGAATCGACTAGTTATTATTTATCCCGGCTTAACATTCACGAAATGTTCATTTTGTCTTAATATTTTCAATTCAATATTTTTTTTTTCTTTTATAATTAAAAAAACATGATAGATTAATTACGATATATATCGACTTAATCATTATATCATCATTAGTTCATTAATGAGTTAATTTATTAATTTTACTCAATCACATATTATAAATTAATTATTATCGACTCATGATATATTTATAAAACGATAAATTTTATATTATCTCAAGTTCGGAGAATTCTTAAAAAAATAAATAAAAAAATCATTTCGGGTCATAGATAGGATCCTGGATCAGATCCTTAAGAGCAGCCTTGGGGTCACCAGCCACCACCAACAGAACAAATCACACTGACAGAAAAAGTTAAATTATAATAAATAAATAAAATCGTCACCAAGAAAATTTGAAGGGGAGAAAAAGTTGAAGAAGGAAAAAAAGGTGGCTTTTTGAATTAGTTATTTGTTTATGGAAGCAAACGCCATTAATAACCAGCTTGAAAGAATTGCAAGTTCGAAACTTTTTGAATACCATCACCAAGCAGACCCAACAGAGAATACAAGGTTGTTGGCGACAACTCCGACGGATACAGAAGTTCGACTCCACCATCACCGGTTATCATACAGGTGTATATTAAGATCACCCACCTCTTTATCTTTCTCTTTTTCTTTCACTTCTCACTCTCCTCTTCAACCCTAGCTCTCTTTTCTGCAACCGTGTGTTTGTCTTTCTTAATCCCACCACAAAGGTTAGTACTGACTGCTGGGAATTTTCTTTTTGTTTTTGGGTGTTTGAAGTTTAGAGGGCATCTGGGATTTTTCCCTATTGAACTGAAAATCAATTAGATGGTGAATCCAGGAATTGGTACCAACTTCGTATCTGCCCCTTACCTTTTTTTTTGTTTTTCTTTCTTTTCAATCCATAGAGTTATTTTTTCTGAGAGAAAAAAAAAATTATGTCTTTCTTGCTGGGAGTTGATCCGAGTCGTACTCGGTTATTATATACTTATAATACGACAGCTTTGATCCGTCAGCTTTCATTTT